TACCATCACCCCTACTACCATCATCATTACTACCACTACTACCACCACCACCATTAAACTGCCATCATTACCATTACCACCCATACCACTACTATTTGGAATGATAAACAACAATAATAATGGTAATAACAATAATAGCAATAACAATAATAATAAGTACGTTACTGTTTACTATGCAGATGTTATCATTCAGTGTCCCTCAGGCTATGGCAGGCAAATACATATTTGGCTGCAAGGGGAGCCATTGCTCCTTCGCCCATGAGTATTTTTAGTTTTTCCTCTGGGTTTAATTAATTTCTGTGAATAATGAATCTCTTTGTGAGGATTATTTATCACAGTAAAGGAGAAAGTGCATCTCTGTTTCTACCTCCCCTGTTGTGCAGTGACCACATACACGCTCCTCTTTGGGTAGCCATGTCTTTTTATGTCTGCCGGTTTCTATTGCCAATTGATGGTCACTCAGCCTGTACTTGGTAAGGATCTGTCTCTGCTTCGTATCTCTGACAGAGCAGAGATAATCAGCCAATTCATATTCTCTGTTTAGGGTCAGATAGCAATTTAGTCGGCTTTGGGATTTTGTTTTGTTTTTCCAATGTTGTAAATATGAGTCCTTTGATTGGTTCATGATTTTGTTCATTGGAATTATTTCTTTTGAAGCAGTGCTGGTGTCAGCTTGGTTGGTTAGGTCCAACACCAGCTGACTGAGAGGGCTCGTTTCTGGGCTCAGCTCTTGGGTTTGAAGTGCTTTAAATTGCAGACTTGAATTTGGACTTGAATTTAGATGTAGCCAAAATTGTAATGATCTTTTCTGTATTTTCATTACTACTGGAAAGCGGCCCAATTCTGCCCTACATGCATTAGTTGGTATATTTCTCTGGACTTGTAGAATTTTCCGACAGAATTTTGCATGTAGGGCTTCAATTGGATGTTTGTCCCACATTTTAAAGTCCAGTTTATTGAGTGGCCCCCAAACCTCACTTCCGTAAAGATCTATTGGTAGGATTACACTGTCAAATATTTTGGTCCAAATTCTAATTGGGATGTTGATTTTATTGCATACAATGCTCTGCAGGCTTTTTCTTTGAGTACATTCACTGCCATATTAAAGTTTCCCGATGCAGATATGGTCAGACCAAGGTATGTGTAATTTTTAGTGTGTTCAGTTATGGTGTTATTCAGGGTGAATTTATATTTGTGTTTCTGACAACTGTTTTGAGTTTTTTTAAATTTACTGCCAGGGTCCAATTATGGCAATATTGCTCAAGAATGTTAAGGTTCTGTTGAAGACCTTCTTTGGTTGGTGATAGAAGTACCAAGTCATCAGCATATAGCAGGTATTTTACCTCTGTGTCAAATAGTGTGAGTCCTGGGGCTGGAGAATGGTCCAACATGTCTGATAATGCATTGATATAAATGTTGAAAAGATTTGGACTCAAACTGCAGCCTTGTCTCACACCTCGACGTTGTGAAAATAATTATGTTCGTTGGTTTTTTGATTTTTATTGCACACTTGTTTTCTGTGTACACACATTTTATTAAGTCATACACCTCACCACCAAGCCCACTTGGGATAATTTTGTAGAATAGCCCTTTGTGCCAAATATAACCAAATGCTTTTTTAAAGTCAATAAAGCAAGCAAAGATTTTGACCTCTTTTTTTTTGGTGGACGTGTTTATTAATTAGTGTGTGTAAGGTGTATATATGGTCAGTAGTGCGATGGTTGGGGACAAAGCCAATTTGACATTTACTTATTAAAAAACATTTCTTGAAGAAAGGTTTGAATTATTGAATTCAAAATGCTACAGAAAACCTTTCCCAAGTTGCTGCTTACGCAAATTCCCCTGTAATTATTGGGGTCTGATTTGTCTCCACTTTTGTGGATAGGGGAGATGAGCCCCTGGTTCCAGACATCAGGGAAGCAGCCAGAAGTTAAAACTATGTTGAACAATTTAAGCACAGTATTTTGCAACTCAGGTGTGCTGTTTTTCAGCATTTCATTTCTGATGTTATCTAGACCACAAGCCTTCTTTGATTTTATAGATTTGAGCTTTTCATTTAGTTCTTGTTGGGTTATTGGGTAATCTAAAGGATTTTGGTTGTTTTTAATGACTGATTCAAGGATGTTCAATGTTTCTTGAATTTCTAATTGGTTCTGTTGTAAGTCTTTTTGTGGGATGTTTTTGTATAGATTATCAAAAGTTTTCAAAATTCCTTCATCTTGTATGGCTAATTCTTGTGGCTTTGTCATGCTTAAATTGGTCTACATGTCCTAGAACTGATTTTGGTTAATTGCACTTTCAATTTCATCAAGTGTCTTTTTGGTATAATTCAATTTCTTGCATTTCAGTGTATGTTTATACTGTTTCAGAGTTTCATAGTATTCATAGCGTAGATCTGGGTTGTTTTGCTGCTTATGTTTTTCATTTGACATTTGTCTTAGGTGTTTTGTAATTGTTTTAGATTCGTTATCAAACCATTTTTCAGAAACATTTTGTTTTTTGTTTCTGATGTTGCATTTCTTTGGTTTTCTCAAATTTGCTTTCGATGCTGTTTTTTTGGAAAATGCAAGTTATGTTTTGAGTAGCCGAATTGACACCTTCTTTATTGTTTTGGTATTGTGAGTTATTGAAAAACTGTATAGAGTTCATTTGAGTTCAATGTTTCAATGAATCTCTCTGCACTGTTGTGAGCCCATCTGTACGATTGGTTCATGTTGTAGAGTTTATTGGGCTGTTTTTTTAAATGAATATTGCCGGTTAATTTCTTCAGAAACACGTTGATCTGACTGTGATCTGACAATAGTGTCAATGTCAGTGATGGCATAATCAACTACACTTGTGCCAAGAGCTGAGCAGTAAGTAAACTGACCTAAAGAGTCCCCTCTGATTCTACCATTAAGCATGTGCAGGCCTAAGGCTCGACAGAGATGCACTAACTCTTTCCCGTTTTTGTTCAGTATTTGGTCAGGACTGTTTCTATTATTTACAATTGGGCCACTGTACAAGGAGGGGTGTCCAAATATGTGGTGGTTACCTCCCGCATCAGTGTAGTCAGGCTCAGAACCTGTTCTTGCATTGAAATCTCCACAAAGAAGCACTTTACCCTCTGCCTGAAATTGAATGATTTCTGTATGGAGATTGTCAAAAAACGGCATACATACACACATACATACACATACATACATACATACATACATACATACATACATACAGTGGGGGAAAAAAGTATTTAGTCAGCCACCAATTGTGCAAGTTCTCCCACTTAAAAAGATGAGAGAGGCCTGTAATTTTCATCATAGGTACACGTCAACTATGACAGACAAAATGAGAAAAAAAATCCAGAAAATCACATTGTAGGATTTTTTATGAATTTATTTGCAAATTATGGTGGAAAATAAGTATTTGGTCAATAACAAAAGTTTCTCAATACTTTGTTATATACCCTTTGTTGGCAATGACACAGGTCAAACGTTTTCTGTTTATTCTTCACAAGGTTTTCACACACTGTTGCTGGTATTTTGGCCCATTCCTCCATGCAGATCTCCTCTAGAGCAGTGATGTTTTGGGGCTGTCGCTGGGCAACACGGACATTCAACTCCCTCCAAAGATTTTCTATGGGGTTGAGATCTGGAGACTGGCTAGGCCACTCCAGGACCTTGAAATGCTTCTTACGAAGCCACTCCTTCGTTGCCCGGGCGGTGTGTTTGGGATCATTGTCATGCTGAAAGACCCAGCCACGTTTCATCTTTAATGCCCTTGCTGATGGAAGGAGGTTTCACTCAAAATCTCACGATACATGGCCCCATTCATTCTTTCCTTTACACGGATCAGTCGTCCTGGTCCCTTTGCAGAAAAACAGCCCCAAAGCATGATGTTTCCACCCCCATGATTCACAGTAGGTATGGTGTTCTTTGGATGCAACTCAGCATTCTTTGTCCTCCAAACACGACGAGTTAAGTTTTTACCAAAAAGTTATATTTTGATTTCATCTGACCATATGACATTCTCCCAATCCTCTTCTGGATCATCCAAATGCACTCTAGCAAACATCAGACGGGCCTGGACATGTATTGGCTTAAGCAGGGGGACACGTCTTGTACTGCAGGATTTGAGTCCCTGGTGGCGTAGTGTGTTACTGATGGTAGGCTTTGTTACTTTGGTCCCAGCTCTCTGCAGGTCATTCACTAGGTCCCCCTGTGTGGTTCTGGGATTTTTGCTCACCGTTCTTGTGATCATTTTGACCCCACGGGGTGAGATCTTGCGTGGAGCCCCAGATCGAGGGAGATTATCAGTGGTCTTGTATGTCTTCCATTTCCTAATAATTGCTCCCACAGTTGATTTCTTCAAACCAAGCTGCTTACCTATTGCAGATTCAGTCTTCCCAGCCTGGTGCAGGTCTACAATTTTGTTTCTGGTGTCCTTTGACAGCTCTTTGGTCTTGGCCATAGTGGAGTTTGGAGTGTGACTGTTTGAGGTTGTGGACAGGTGTCTTTTATACTGATAACAAGTTCAAACAGGTGCCATTAATACAGGTAATGAGTGTAGGACAGAGGAGCCTCTTAAAGAAGAAGTTACAGGTTTGTGAGAGCCAGAAATCGTGCTTGTTTGTAGGTGACCAAATACTTATTTTCCACCATAATTTGCAAATAAATTCATTAAAAATCCTACAATGTGATTTTCTGGATTTTTTTTCGCTCAATTTGTCTGTCATAGTTGACATGTACCTATGATGAAAATTACAGGCCTCTCTCATCTTTTTAAGTGGAAGAACTTGCACAATTGGTGGCTGACTAAATACTTTTTTTCCCCACTGTACATACATAGTGTACACATACACATATACACACACACACACACCATTACACATCACTATTATTATAATACCAGTGCCAATAAAAATAAAGGATAGTTGTAAACAACTTAATAAGAATGGCCCAAAAAATAAGTACAATGCAATGCAATCTGCAACCCTGTGTGCGCGCGTGAATTAAAGGGTCTGTCTAGCCCAGTAGTCTGCATATTAGATGCAGTAGTTGGCGCACCTCTCCTATCTCTGATAGTTCTAGGTGTGTTTTGCCAGAGGTTATGATCTGAATGATACATGGTGTGGACTGCATCATGTGGTGTACTTCTCTGAAGGACAGTGTTCTGCCCGACCCTGGAGTAGTGGTCAGTGCTGTGTTGTGATGGGCCGGGTCTAGTGGTGTTGTGTTGTGATGGGCCGGGTCTGGTAGAGCTGTGTTGTGATGGGGTCTGGTAGAGCTGTGTTGTGATGGGCCTGGTCTAGTAGAGCTGTGTTGTGATGGGATGGGTCTGGTCGTGCTGTCCTGAGATGGGTCTGGTCTGGTAAATCTGTGCTGTGGTGGGCCTGGTCTGGTCGTGCTGTGCTGTAATAAGCCATGTCTGGCTCTTCTCTCCTGGGGATGGTGGGGGTACTGTTATTTCAGAAGGTGGGGCGGGGGGCCTCTGTTGCTGGGGTGATGGGTGTGTGGGTCCCTGCCAAGAGTTGCATCCTTTAGGTCCTTGGCAAAGGTTCTGACAGTGTCCTGATCAAGATGTACATTATCGTATACGTGTTCACATGTCAGAGTGGGATGGTGAGCCGTTCTGACGTTGAGCAGTGAGGCACAGTCCACAGTGATCTGTTGATTTATTTTTTCGATCAACTGTCCTGGGAAGTATTTTCTTGGTAGGAGGGGGGACACAACTATATTGGTTGTTGGGAACATAGCCTGTGCCCATTCTGCCACTCTTCTCACTGCCCCAGATACATTTTCACCTTTGGCATGAAGGTCGTTTGTGCCAGTGTGGATGATGATGTTGTCGGGGGTGTCAATCCTGGTCTGACTGAGTAGCTGCATTGCACTGTCAGTTGTAGGACACCAGAACTTATACACCTGGTGTCTAAGGAATAATCTTTCCTGGACTAAGAACTTCCCATTTGAATCAATAAGGATTGCAGTTGTGGGTGACTGTCTGGGTGGAGCAGACTGGGGGACTGGTATTCTGACCTGGGCTGGAGCAGACTGGGAGGCTGGTTGGCTGACCTGGGCTGGAGAAGACTGGGTGGCTGGTTGGCTGACCTGGGTTGGAGCACACTGTGCTGGAGCAGACTGGGAAGCAGGTAGGCTGACCTGGGCTAGAGCAGAGTGGGATGCTGGTTGGCTGATCTGGACTGGAGCAGACTGGTAGGCGGGTGCAGTGTCATCAGGCTGTGTGGTGGAGGCCATGCTGGTCTCAGGTTCTGCCTGTGTTGAACCAGGCTGGTGGACATGTTCTCTAGATGCAGAGGACATATTGACTAGCTGCTGGTTGAGGGTGTCAATGTACCTCTCTCTTTGTTCTATCTCCTTTGTTGTTGTGCTCAGATGGTCTTTGAGGTCATCATTTGTCTGACTCAGTTTGTCCATTCTGCTTTCTAATTTAGCAATAGAGCTCTGCTCTCCTCCCTGAACTGTTTCATCTCTTCTTTTAGTTTCTGGACAGTGTCGTCCTCTTGAAGCTTGTTCTCTCTGAGTTCTATGACCTCTGCTTCGACGAGAGAGAGGGTGTTGTGGAAACGTTTGCATAGCAGGTGTTCTTGGGTGTTGTAGGCATGTCCTTGGCTTTGTCTGCTGCAGGTGAGGTAGGTAGAGGGACACTGAGGGCTTCTTGCTGGGTCACAGAGACCGTTGGGGCCTGCTTTTCTCCATCTCCCTCCTTGACTTTTTCCTCAGTTTCTGAGATGAGTTCAGCTTCTGCTTTTAGGGTAGCAAACATATTCTCAAAAGCCTGGAGACTTGAATCATTGCCTTGGTATCAATACTGTTCCATTATTATATAAGTTTACTGTTTGATACGTCTTGCTCTGGTCAGCTTCTTCAAAAATGCTGATCTGACATCCTTGGCTGATGCCTCTCTTTTTTTTGAGAAAGGGAAATTGTTGCAAATAACTATTTTCCATATGTGCCCTCGTTTGGTATTTAAATATTACATTTGCTCTTGTTTTTGCAAACTGGTAAGATCTGCAAACAGGCATTCATGGTTCTGTCCCCCATTCATCAAACTTTGAACTTTTCCTTAGATTTCTCCCCTCTGGATGTCCTGGTGGGAAAACAATTTCCATAGCATGCTGTAACACAATGTTTTGCACAATAGAAGGCGTTGTTTCTGTATTATTCTGCCCTTGGTGTCCTTTTTGTAGTAGGACGGTTTTTTACCTTTGATGTCTTTGTCTTCTTTTGTCCTTAATTTTGTCTTAATTTGCATTTATTTTTCTTCCTGTTAACAATATTCTTTGTTAGCTAGCTAGCTTCTTCTTTTCCATGATGAGTCCCTAGCAACTGGCTTTAGCAACTGGTACAATTCAGCAGCTAAGATAACTGTACATTTTTTTTAATGAAAAATAGTTTACTTTTTTCAAAGCCTTTTTCTTTCTTGTTTGTTCTTGTTTTTGTCCTCTTATTCAGTCTTGGCAAGCTGCCTGCCCTCTTATTTGGAATTTTTCTTCTCTCTCTCCTCTCTCCTCCTCTTCCTTCTCCCTCCCTGTCCCTCTCTCTCTCTTCTCTCCTCCTCTCCTCACGCTCTCCTCCTCCCTCTGTCCTCTCTCCTCTCTCTCCTTCCACTGTGTCTCTCTCTCCTCCCCCTCTTCTCTCTCTCCTCTCCCTCCCCTCCTCTCTTCCTCTCTCCCTCCTCTCCTCCTCCTCTGTCCTCTCCTCTCTCTCTCTTGTGTCCCTCCTCCCTCCTCATTTTTGTCCTCTCTCCTTCTCTCTCTCCTCCCATCCTCTCCTCTCTCCTTCCTCCTCTCTTTTTCTCTTCTCTCCTCCTCCTCTCTCTCTCTCCTCTCCTCTCTCCCTCTTTCTCCTTCGTCTTCTCTTCTCCTCTCTTCTCTCCTCTCTCTGTCTCCCGCTCCTCTCTGTGATCCTCTCTCCCTGTGTGTTGGTCTCTCTCTCTCTTCTCTCTCTCTCTCTTCTCTCTCTCCCCTCCTCTCTCCTCCGTTCCTCTCTCTCTCTCCCCCTTCTCCTTCCTCTGTCTCTGTTCTCTTGGTCTCCTTGTCCTCAATCAAGTCTCCATTCACAACACACTGATAATGACATACATTTATTGAGCCCCCTGAATCCCATCTTATTTTACACAACCAGGAATTATAGCCGAACATAAGCTTTAAGGGCTATACTGTATGTAATGTTACATTTTAATTAAAAGACCGGTTTTTTTGTTATTGCCCAAGGGGAAAAAAAAGGGAGAGAGGGAGAGAGGTGCAAAGGGGTGGCTACTTTTGACAAATTCCTCATAATAGGTATTTTTGATTTGTTTTAACAACTTTTTGGTGCAAGATGCCTTGTGTAATGTGGTGGGGATCAGGCCGCAGGAACACGAAGCTAGGTCCAACAGATATTTTTACTAGTAAAAACCTAGGTTAAAGTAACAATAAACGGCCTTCAACAAAACAGAGGCCGAGCGATTACGCAACGGTGCGTAAACTACAAAACAACAAACAGAGAAAAAAATCATGCAGCACTAACGGACAAGGCGAACAATAACACACAAACCTAACCCACAAAGCAGGACAACTATAGAACACAATAAATCAGGACACAATGGAACACAGGTTGGCACTAGACAGACAAACCCATTCAAACATCGAAAACATTCTAACGGTGGGTAGCTAGTACCTCCGGGACGGCGAAACGACCCGAAGCCTGCCCGAGCCCCCCCCCCCCCCCCCCCCCCACCCCCCCCCCACCCACCAACCCCCCCCCCCCCCCACCAACCCCCCCCCCCCCCCCACCCCCCCCCCACCCACCCCCACCCGCCCCCCCCCCCCCCCCCCCCCCCACCCCCCCCCCCCACCAAGGAGGAGGAGCAGCCCTCTGCAGAATCCCGTTGAACCAACTTTTTTGGTTCTACATGATTCCATATGTGTTATTTTCATAGTTTTGATGTCTCCACTATTTATTCTATAATGTCACAAAATAGTAAAAAATAAAGAAAAACCCTTTGACTGAGTAATGTTTGTGTCCAACCTTTTTGACCGGTACTGTGGTATGAAATTCACATTATTATTTAAGGAAATATCGTATTGAAATTATATATTTGTTTATACCGGATCCATTAATTATCAGGTAATGACTCAGAATATGAATACATTTTTCTTGAAAAATCTGTTTTATTTGTTTCATGCCCTGAGTATAATGGCTTTAGCATGGTTGACACACTAACCTTTCCGGAGTTAGAAAATATTCCTATAATATGTACGCCAGACGTACGCGCCATCAGGGGCGTGTTCTTGAAACGGCATCTTACCCCAGAATATCTTCATTGACTCCATAACGGTGAGCAGGGAGATTTTTTGGGAGGTTCCGATTGGAAAATGCATGTCAGAAACCTCCTTCCCCAGTACGGGGAATTATATATATATATATATATATATTGTACATTATAGCTCTGTTATATGAAAAGTTAATAGGATCGGACCCCTTTTTTCTTTTTTGCCTAAAATGACATACCCAAATCTAACTGCCTGTAGCTTCAGGACCTGAAGCCAAGGATATGCATATTCTTGATATCATTTTGAAAGGAAACACTGAAGTTTTTGTGGAAATGTGAAATAAATTTTTGTAGGATCAATATAACATATTAGAATCTGGGTTAAAAGATAATACATACACCATCTTTGAAAGCAAAGAGAAAGTTCCAGACAGGTTGGATGTAGGATTCTCGGTGTAATTTTAATTGTTGTACCACAATGCCAGCAGTGGTGTGTTTACAAAGTTTCAAAACTGATTCCAGTGATAATTACATCACTACACAATTTATTTAGCATCAAGTCCTGCCAGGAAAGTTTTTTTTCCCCCAAATGTGCTGAATTGGTTTTTTTCAAGTACATAACTCCTAGAGAACATAACAAAATGCTAGGGTCAATACAAAATGTAGGTTTTTGCACACTCCCATGAATGTCCCATATATGATGGATCATTAACTTTCCCTACATAAAAGACACTAACCTTCCACACATCTACAGTGGAAAAAAAGGGAAAAAAGTATTTGAATGCCCCCTGCTGATTTCGTAGGTTTTTGCCCACCTGACAACGACATGATCAGTCTATTATTTTTTAAAAGATGGTCTTTGGGTCATTTTGTTGACTCATTTGTCCATTCTGCTTTCTAATTAGCAATAGATCTCTGCTCTCCTCCCTGAACTGTTTCATCTCTTTCTTTTAGTTTCTGGACAGTGTCGTCCTCTTGAAGCTTGTTCTCTCTATTCTTTTACCTCTGCTTCGACGAGAGAGAGGGTGTTGTGGAAACGTTGGCATAGCAGGTGTTCTTGGTGTTGTAGGCATGTCCTTGGCTTTGTTTTCTGCAGGTGAGGTAGGTAGAGGGACACTGAGGGCTTCTTGCTGGGCACCAGACCGTTGGGCCTGTTTTTCTCCATCTCCCTCCTTGACTTTTTCCTCAGTTTCTGAATGAGTTCAGCTTCTGTTTTTTAGGGTACAAACATATTCTCAAAGCCTGGAGACTTGATCATTGCCTTGGTATCAATACTGTTCCATTTATATAAGTTTACTGTTTGATACGTCTTGCTCTGGTCACTTCTTCAAAATGCTGATCTGACATCCTTGGTTGATGCCTCTCTTTTTTTTGAGAAGAAGGGAAATTGTTGCAAATAACTATTTTCCATATGTGCCCTCGTTTGGTATTAAATATTACATTTGCTCTGTTTTTGCAACTGGTAAGATCTGCAAACAGGCATTCATGGTTCTGTCCCATCATCAAACATTTGAAACTTTTCTAGATGTTCTCCATCTGGATGTCTGGTTGGGAAAACAATTTCCATGAGCAAGCTGTACACAATGTTGCAATAGAAGCGTTGTTCTTGTATATTCTCCCTTGTGTCTTTTAGAGGACTGTTTTTACTTTTGATGTCCTTTGTCTTCTGTCCTTATTTGTCTTAATTTGCATTTATTTTCTTCTGTTAACTAGATATTCTTTGTAGTAGCTAGCTTCTTCCAGGAGAGTCCCTAGCAAACTGCTTAGCAACTGGTAAAAACAATTCAGCTAGCTAAGATAAATGTACAGTTTTATGAAAAATAGTTACTTTTCAAAAGCCTTTCTTCTTTGTTTGTTGCTTGTTTTGTCTCTTATTCAGTCTTGCAGCTGCTGCTCTATTTGGAATTTCTCTCTCTGTGTGTGTGTCTATCTCTCTCTCTCTCTCTCTGTGGTTCTCTCTCCTCTGTGTCTCTCTCTCTCTGTGTCTCTCTCTCTCTGTCTCTCTGTCTCTCTCTCTCTCTCTGTGTCTCTCTCTCTGTCTCTGTCTCTGTCTCTCTCATCAAGTCTCCATTCACAACACACTGGATTATGACATACATTTATTGAGCCCTGAATCCATCTATTTTACACAACCATGAATTAATAGCCGACATAAAGCTGA